CCCCCACCCTCTCACCCCCTGTAAGCGAGAGCTCCCAAACCCAACAAAAGCTGATTTGATTTCTACAAGTCTAGCAACCAAGCAAGTACTGATGTTGCACTTGGCAGCTTTAACAAACACATAAGAGACAAGAGAAAAATCAAAACCAAACAAAATCCAAACTTGAGCTCATAACAGATTCTAATTTCAAACTAGAAAAAGAAAATATATAAATGTTAAAAAGAAAACAGTGCTCAATGTCGTAATGCTGCTGTAGTCATACAAGCACTAGTTAGACTCCAGACATGATAGTTCGACACAGATAACAGAAATCGAGACGAAACGAAACACAAGATGGATAGATAGATAGATATCTAGATAATAGATAGAAGATAGAAGGATAGTTATAGACAGATAGATAGAGAGCAACACCCACACCCACACACAGATGAGAGATGAGCCCCCCAGCCATGCACTTGTAGTAGTTTGTTTGTAGTTGTTAGTCGGAGGACGTGGAGCAGGAAAGGTGGTCGGACGTGGTGCACTCGTCTTTCAGGCTGCTGCTGGTTGTAATAGGGAAGAGTTGTAGAGTTTTCAGAGGCCTGTTGCAACAAGGAGTAGCCGGACCCACGTCCATCATCATCATCATCCAATCACGACCGTACATCCTCGTCGACCTCTCTATATCGTCGTTTGATGACGACTCCTTTAGTCCTCCAATCTACCCACATCAAAACGTTGCATACAATGAGAACTGTTACCTTCTTGTAAAAATATTATTAGTCAAACACTAAGAACGTGAAGCTTTCGACCATAGATGAAGAAAAAGAAGAAGGAAAACGATGGAGCAGCACCTACAAAATAAAAGACAAAAGGAAAAGGAAGGAAGAACTAATTAACCAAAAAAACTATGAAGAGGTTATGAAGTGGATACCTGGGGAACAATCTGGGTTGAGTTATAAAGTGGGATTTGTTGAAGAGCAGCTGCAGCAGCATCAGAGGGATCGATCTGATGAAGAAAATGGTGGTGGGGATATTGCTGCTGCTGTTGCTGCTGCTGTTGTCTACTAAGTTTTCTTCGAAGTTTCTGTCGTTCTCTTGCTTTGTGGTTTTGAAACCAGTAGAACACATTCTTTCCTTCAATCTTGCCGTAGAAGGAAAGATGGGCTGTTATCTGTTGTATCTGGGTTGCATTTGGAGTCCTAATCCCTCCTCTGTACATCTCCTCCAATATCATAAGCTGTTCCGGAGTCGGACACCATCTGGTTGAAGCTGCCGGTGACATTTCTTCTAACGGTCTTACACCCCCCCTTCTCTTTGGAGTTTGATGAGATATAAATAGGTGGATAGAATGATAGAAACAGTACATATCAGAGAGAGAGAGAGAGAGAGAGGAGAGAGGAGAGAGAAGAAGCCAGGAAAGGAGAGACAAAAGGGATGGAGAGGAAGACCAGCAAAAGAAGGGTAGGCAAAAAAGTACCACTGCCTTTGTCATGCTGATGTTTCCCTATTGTGGCATTCAATGTGGGTTTCAGTCCATCCTTTTCTCCTCTATTTCTTCCCTCTCTCTCTCTCCTCTCTCCTCTCTCCCTTCGTCTTGGATGAGTGAGCAAGGATGAAGTTGGTGGATGATTGAATGATTCCGTCATCATAACCATATTATTTACTTTTGAACAGACTCACAAAATGTTTATACATGGAGCGTGTTACAAACAGCAGCTCTCTCTATTCTCTCCCATTCCAACCTCGTCGCTTCACCCAACTGGCTACTATGTAAATGCAACGACACATCTCTCTCTCTCTCTCTCTCTGCTGCACATCACAGCTGCAGGGGTCAAACACTGGATCGTTGTACACTCATACCATAACTTGAACCCAATGCTCACTGTACATAACGTAACATGTGGACAACCGGCCCATACAATAAATGCATGCAAACCCATAATATACTGTGGTGCAGTTCTATTCTTTTTCGGGAGACGAGACTGCGAGGCTTTGAATGAGAAGTAAGAACTCTTCTGTCATTCTATGACTATTTAACACTTTTAAGAATGAAATGAATTGAACCCCCCCCTCTCTGCCTTCCTTCTCCCACTCCTTTCCAGCAGTTTCTTGTTTCTACGTTAGCTAGTAGGCAGCCATATAGCTTCGCTACAGTCGGCTGCAACCTGTCTCGCCATCTGAACCCTCTAGCCACATTGCAGCATCATTGGGGACAAAATGGAGCTAGCTCTAGCCATATATGAGTAATTTCATTTGTTTCGATCCATCGATTTATTAATGGATATATATTGTCTCTATTGTGAGGACGACACTGGTCGCACAGAGTCACAGACCGACCAACAATTTGGAATTAATCTACTCTTTAAAATTCTCTACCAAGTGTTGGAGGGTAGTGCTATAAATTTGCTTCTGGTCAGGGGGGCTGCAGTTAAAATCAAGAGACGGGTGCGAGGGGGTCAGGCCTGGCCTGAGTAGAAAGTCTGCAGAAAAAAAAAAAAAAAAAAACTCCCCCATCAATTCAATCTAATACAATAGAGGAATCAAAAACCTGCTAAGGCAGCCGTCTAGTCACACCTCAACACCAAAAGAAGAAAATTTTCAGATATATGTATACAAAGACAGGGACGTGATCGTCAAATCGATGTGAAATTATTTCAAATTAGTAGCTCTACAGAGTAAAACATGTAACCATTTGTTGCATATTTTTCAGCTTGTCTTAATACAGAAATAGAAATCAAAAGAGCAAAAAAAATTTGAGGTAAATTCAATTCAACTTCGTTTTTCGACTACAGATTTGACAAAAAGAGATGATGCCCTCAATTGTCAAATAAAAAGCATTTCGAGATATGTACGGAGAAATCCGGGTGATGAGACCCGTCTGGGCTCTCTTCACAATCTCACATCCACTTGCACGCCATCTCATCCATGGAGACTCTATGAAATGGACCGGGAGTCTGTAACTGGTCCTCTCGTGCAAAAATGAAAAATCATCGGCCACTGCAGTGCAGATAGGAACCTTTTGGCTACGCCACGGGGGTATCGGGTGCCCTGGAAACAACAACCAGAGAGACTGTAGGCCATGAACGATTTGAAGAATCCTAACCAGATATGTGTTCGAACAACTAGTCTTGGTAGGCTCAAGTACTCCTACCTACAATGAAGCTAATTTTTTATTTCGATATTTGTCACTGATCCCCAGAGCTGGAGACATGGGAATCTTTGGCTGCTTATGCCTTATGGTATGGTTGCTGACAAATTTAGATCACCAAGAAATGGATTAAGAAGTAAGAACAGATTGCTTACTGCTTAGTACTAGTTATGACAATGGGCTAGTTGTAATGGTTTACATATCGTCCATGGAAAATTCTCCAACGAAGATAATTTAGGTGAATTGGGTATGCTTCAAAGACATGGTTCATGCTGGGTCAAAGTTCACTGCCTTCTGTAGCTATCTCTCTCTCTCTCTGTCTCTGCTTTTATTGAGTGCAGGTTTTGGGACAATTCTCTTCTCTAATCTTTACACAGACGCAAAATCCTGAAGAGCTCCTCTATTTGGCGTTGTGTCCGATAATATGCCCAGAAGATCATCCGCCATTGGCCGTGGCACCTTTTCTTTGATCAGTTTTTACAACTTTATAGATTTGTCCGTAGTGCTAGCTAGACTGTATGTAGGTAGAGATAAGGTGGAACGAAATGCATGCAATTGGTTTCATAATCGGCGCTAGCTGCAACCATGTATAAACTATATATATGGTCATGGCTTCTATCTATTCAGACTATTCTATTTGACTGTCAGACTCAAAGAAAGCCCTCTTTGGCTCGACTGAGTCTCTCCTGCAACCACCCCGTACCCTTTCAGAGGAGCTCTTGGTCTTGGTCTTGGTCTTGGCTTTGGCTTTCTTTGTTTGAAAATTATTCATCTTCTTGGTTTTGCTTTGGCTTTGATCGAGTGAAAGCCAGAGGTCTTCTCGGTTATTTGTTCTCTATCCTCCTCTTCTTCTTTTTTTCTAATTTTTTTTATTTATATTAATGCGTCTTTCCCAATAACATTCTCTTTGCACAATTTTTTGTGAGAAAATAGAGGAGAAGATACCAGACGAATACGTTACGTCGCCACTTAAATGCAGCAACAGAGACACCACAGTGCCTCGTAACTTAAACACCTACGATTTCTAGGGAGTCGTGTCGTCCTTTCTTTATTTCCCACCGTTGGATGAATTCCCAATTCCATCATCATACCTTCGGTAATCCGACGGTGGTGGATCAAAGCCAAGCCAAGCCAAGCCAGACTCTGCCTAGTCAAAGTTTTGTATCAAAAGGAAAAGGTCCACGAAAAAGGCAGCAAATGCTGACAAAAGTCAGAGAGTTTGTCAAGTCAACGCAAAGCCATTGAGAAACGTCCTTGGCTGCACACGATAGGAATCAAAGCTAGGTTAGCCTAGGCAACCAATGCGATCGAACGAACCGATCTGATTCTGACCCCGTAATTGTGGGTCCTCACTCACACAAGGGCTACAGCTAAGCACCCGAACCTGTTGCGATGCCCATTTAAAAAACCTAACTAACTAATTAAGTGATGGCATAGATAGATCAAATCAAATAATTGTGACCATTCAATTTGATTAATTCTGAGCGCTCTGATCAAATAATTTGGATTTCAAGAAGAGAGATTGCTTTAAGAAGGATCAGATGAAGAGGGCTGTGTACTTGAGAGTTGAGAGATACTGTACTGGGGCCAAGAGTGATCTCACACACTCGCACTAAATATAAGATGCCAGCCTTTTAGGGGACAACGAATGTTTCTAATTACCTCACTGGCCTCCATCAACGGTCCAGGTGGTGCCACGTAAGCTGCTACTGTGTTAAATAGTTAGTTAGTACAATGAAATGAATGACCTACTGCTACTACTCCAAATCCAAAGCCCAAACACACTGGGACTGGGCGCCTTTAAATTCCCACTCTTAGTCTTAGTACCTGTAGTGGTCTGAGATTGCAGAGTCTATAATAAGCGAGGAGACCTCAGACCTCCTTCTATTTTATTATGAGTTTTAAAAAGAAGGGAGAGGGGGAGGGGTAATTTGAATGGGGAATTGTTTCTCGAGATTGACAAAAATAAAAAAGAGACCACATTCTCTTCTGGAGTTATTGTTTTGCTTCCCCATGTTCCTTAACTGCCTCACCATTCACTCTCTGTCGTCGTCTGTATCTTTCACGGCCCACGAGTCTCGACAAACCATTCTCTTCTTCTTCTTCTTTCTTTTTTTCCCTCATCTTCTTCTGCTTCCATTCCTGGATGAGTTCGTCGCGTCCATTCGCAACATCTGTCAATTACTCGATGTGACTTCTCAGAACTCAGAAGCCTACCTGGACCTGGACGCTTTACCTGCAGCCTGTGGCCTCTTCTATTGCTATTTGCTAATGGGTGGGGGTGGCACCAAGTGGGCTGACCCAGATTAATTTATAAATTTCAGGGGCCCAAATCTGAATTCAAACTGGGTAATGGGTATTGATTATTGAATGCATGCAATATTGCCTTCCATCATCAATTCATTCATGAGATAATGTTGGCGTTCTTTGCTCCTCCAGCGGCCCAGGTGAGGCCCATGAAATGTTAATCAGGTTCGGATTGGGTTCAATCAATGTGGCTCGAGCCATATATGTTCAGCCTTAGCCCACTATAGAGTCCAAATCACTGCCTATACGTGTCTTAACCTTGTCTCTTCCATTAACAAATTAACCCTCCCTTTGTTATTTGGTGAACCCCCCGAGTATAAATGGTTAGGTAAAACTATGGGGTGGTGTAATAAGTATTTGACCCAACCCTGGAGGTATAAGTGATTTACCCTTCATGGAAATGGACAGATGGTAAGTACAACCAACTCCTCAGCATTTGGATGAACTCCAGCAGAGCTCCAATAAATGAATCGTTGCAATACTTCTTGATAGTTTCCTTTGCAAGAGTAAGCTACAAGGTTGCACTTTCTAGGGATATGGGAAGGGAAGCATATTAATCTAAAGGCCAAAGTTTTTGGTAAAAGTTGATTTTAGAAGGATAACAACGAAAGGTCGAATCACTTATGAGTCTGAAGAACCGAAGTACAAGCTTATATAATAAGGTTTATGTGAGCTGAAAGGCAACAGTAGTTCAACGGGCTGTGGAATTAATGATAATGTTCCACATCAATAATAAATTCATGGGCCCCACGGTAAAGATGGGGTCCCATGAAATCATAATTTTAAAAAATGATCGGGAAATGAAATCGTTTTGGTCACCAGTTTTTGGGTTAATGGTTTGATCATTTGCTTCAAATGGATGGTTTGTTTTGACAAAAAAATTAAAAAAATAATAATAAAAAATGACCAAAACTATTGAATGGGTCAACGGGTCAATGGTTTGACCACTCGGGTCAATGAGTCATTGATTGATTCAACGGTTTTTTATTAGGGACCGGGTTTGGAATAAAACGGAACCGGTTGCCTAGATAGTTCCCAGGCCAAATGGCTTGACCATCCGGGTCAACGGCGATTCGAAAATCATGCATGAAACATTATCATTGGTTTCACAACCCATTGAACAGTCATCGAGCTAATCCTTGCTCAACTGAGGCAAAGGAGCCCATGCAAAATTCCACTATTAAACCTAGTGTCAATGTTTTCAAACCATCGTTGACCTGAACGATCAGACTATTCAGACTGAATACCATTCAGGCAACTGGTTTTGTTTTACCCCAAAGTCCCAAACCCAACCCCCAACCAAAGACCGTTGAATTGGTCAATGGCCCATTGACCTGGCAAAAAGTTGACCCAAACCACGAACCCGACCCAACCCAACCCGAAAAAAGCTGGGTTGGGTTGGGTTGGGTCATGGGTCAACCTGCTGACCCGATTGTCGTCTAGTTGGGATTATTTATGCATTGTTAGAAGTTTCCATTCTTTAATTTTTTCTATTTAGTCTTTACTTTTTACTGTTTACTCTTTAAATTGTTAAATATTCAAGTTTTTTATTTTATATTTAAAATTTTAAGGATAATTCTTTTAATTTTGACATTTTCCATGTAATTTTTCTTTATTTTTTTATTTTAATTATTTTTTTGGATGACCCGAATTGACTCATGGGTCAACCCTAACCCGAACATTTAAGGTTAGGGTATAGCATTTGACAACCCAACCCGAAATCCAACCCGACTCAAAATCAACCCGAAGTATCTTGACCCAACCCAAATCCAATCCACCCAACCCAATTGCCAGGTCTACCTTTGATCCTTTTTACGAGCAAATTAGACATTGGGTTATAAAATGTTAAATCTTCCGACCCCAAAATCCAAAGTATTTGATTCAGATTTAATCTGACTCCCACTATCTAAAATTAAAAAATGTTTACTTTAACTTATAAGTCTGTTGTGGATTTATATGAACATATAATATTCAATTTATTACTTATAAGCTTCATATAATTATGGGTATATACATAATTATTTTACAAATGTATAAAATAATAATATCAAGTCAAAACTCGGATTTCAATCGAAGTGGATGGGTCAAATTTGCATCAGATCCGATTATTAATGTAATGCTAGCTTCTAATATTGGATTGGATATCAGACTTTCTGAATTTGTTTACAGCCTTAAATGTGTGAACACATAAGTTTTGCTAGATTTTGAATTCAGTCTTAGTTATGTTTTTATTATTGTAGTTGTTTTGATAATGAGAAATCACTCAAAAATCAAGGATACATTAGGAATCACCTTTTACTGATAAAGAATTGCTGAGCAGAAGTGGGGAGGGGTGATAACAAAAGACAAAAGATTTACTGCTTCTAGATTTACGAGCTAAGTTATAAAGAGCAACAAAAAGAAATAACAAGTCTTTGATGTGGTCAACAAGAGCTTCTTCATTCCATCCGGTGTTTTCCATGGTTCCTTTAAGCTTGAAAGGGCCTCCTAGTTATGTTTTGTTATTGGGTCCATTCTTTCGGTTCAGATCAGGTAGGTAACAATATTGTAAGTATTATTGAGCAATTGAAATTTTTTTTTACACTATCTCTTAAAATACCCTTATCCTGCCTTTGAAAAAGATTAAAACCAACTTTTAACAATTGTCAAAATGTTTTTCAAGTGTTCATTTAACATGCTTATTTATATTGTGACTACTAAATCCGATCCCCCATTCTTTATGGTTTTACAATAAAGTGGGGTATTAACATTAGAATATTTGCATGTGTACTAACTCTTATGCATAGATTCCACTTAAAAACAACTAAAGTGCCCGGTTTGTATTAGACCTGTTCATGCGCCAGCTTGGGCCAGGTTCAGGCCGGACCTGAGCCTGGCCCTACTATTGGTCTTAGATCTTCAGCCAAGCCTGGCCCTTGTATAAGCTTCAAAACCCCAAAATATTAAAGGATATCATTATTACTTAAAAAAAAAAGAGGAACAGAGAAAAAATTATATTATATATTCTTCAACATATAAGATATGCTCTTAATTGTATAAAATATTATCATGTCTGATTTGGGCTTGGGCCGGAATTTTTTGAGAAAGACTGAGCCCAAACCGAAAAAAATTAGGCTTAGTATTTTGGGCCTAAGCCTAAACCCACAAATCTAAAATCTTGTCCAATCCCGACCATAAAAAGACGGGATGGGGCTGGCCCTTTGGGATACCTGGCCATGAACAAATATACTCTGTACAACATTTCGGTGGGTCTAATCTGAGCCTAACTTAGCCCATTCCAAGTTTTTGCATGGATTGACTTGAGTTTTCTGGTTACAAATTGGGCTTACGACGGAAAACTCAATCTTTGTTTGGTTTTGGGTTGAGGTTTCAAGTAATTTGAACCCATCTGAATAAATACACATGCATATACATATACATATTTTTAATCATTTCTATTCTTAAATTCGACCAAAAAAACAAAAAATAAATAAATAAAAGATGAATATACAAAATTATATTAAAAAATTCCTCTAAACCTGTCCAAGCCTACAGGCCTAACCCATCCTGAGCCTCAGTTTTATTGGATTAAGGCCGTTTGTATCTTTGTTGATAAACTTATCCTCGGGCTAGGCCTGATCCCGAAGTTTGCAGTTTGCACCTTTGGGGTTGGGCTGGGTTGAACTTCAACTCGACCCAACCTGCCCAAGTTGCACCCCTGGTTGATCCGGAGCTGATGCGTACATGCACGTGAAACTTAAAAGAATTTGGAGTTCAGAGTGCCCATATGCGCACATTAGCAGGGGTGGTGATGGGTTTATTTATGTGTCTGTTCGAGGGTTTTTCGCCTCTGCTACTTGTTCTTACCCTCTACAAATGTCGTTCGAATCAATTGAAGTAGGGCCATCAAAATTGATTTGCCTTTGATTGAATCCTGTAAGGTAAGCAAGCGTTCGAGAAGAAGAAAAGAACCGTTAGTTATTAGTTATTACTTCTTATTTTGTGTCATATTTCTTTTCTGGGAACTTATATTACTTATATCTATGCCGTTAATCAACGCCAAGGGTTCTATATTATTTCGCTTGCTTCAGTGATGAATTTGTCATCTGTATTTTGTCCATTAAAAAAGTCATGGATTGGTGTTTAGGTTTTGGAATTTATGTTGAAACCAACAAAGTATAGTAAAGTTTTATTGATTTTGTTTATCGGCTTTTTTTTTTTCTGCAAGAATTTAGATTTATTTCCTTTTTGTGTGTTGGTGTTCATTGTGACCATAAACATCTCTGTGTGGCATCCATTATTTACTTGCTGGTTTATTGCTTTTGCTGATCATCCAGAAACACCATGTTTTTACCCTCAACCTATAATCACCAATTGAAGGCAAAGCATTATTCACCATTCAACATACTAACCACTAAATTCACCATTGTAAGAATTTAGAGATTTGCTTTGTTTTGTCTTTGAGCAGTTTGGGATGCGAGATGTAATATTCTTGGTGCCACAGACCTGCATTTATTCACCATTCAACATACTAACCACTAACCTACTTGCCTAACTTCCAGACACATCTCAAGCTTTCCATGGTTTTAAATTATATCAAATTTTCGCATGTCTTGTAAAACTTCAGTATGTTGAATTTTTTTTTTTTTTAAGTTTTTGTCTTTTGTTTTTGACCAGGATTAAAAAACAAAAGCCAGATATTGAAACATTGCTTGTGCTTGCAGAGAAATGGGTTTTTATACATTAACAACTCATTTTATTGCTGGAATGGATTTATACTATAAACATAGGACTTACCAACAATCAGCATTTTCATGTAGAGCATCATATGCATAAAATAATTGATTGTTTCATCACTAAAATATACTGGGTTGTGTATTCTTGTGAAGGAAATGGAGAAGGCAAGCAAAGAGCAGGAGCTAGAAGATTTATCTGCAAGTATTTATGAGATACCCGGAGAACCTGCTGTTGTTATCAATGGGGTGCCAAATGTGACTCAGAGTGAAAACGATGTCCTTAATTTTGATAGTTTACATAATGCAGAACCAAAACGAGACATTGGTTTGGGTGAATGGTTGGAAGGTAGGGAAGTTCGAAAGCTATTTGGTGAGCAGTTTTATTCTGGCTTAGTGACCAAGTTTGACAAGGAAACGGGTTGGTATAGGGTAGTATATGAGGATGGTGACTTTGAAGATCTTGAGTGGCATGAATTAGAGGAAGTTATTCAACCACTTGACATTACAGTCCCATTGAAAACATTGACTTTGAGGATTTCCAAGAAATGTGAAAAATCTATTTATAAGTCTGAGAACAATGCAATTGGATCAAGAAGGCGCAGAGTCAAGAATGTTGGGTGCGAGGGGAAACCAATGCAGGGGCTTCAATGAGCTTCAGTAGCTGATTTCAAAAGTGCGCATATAAAGGAAAACATGCTGCTATGGGCCTACAAATTCAAAGAGTTCATCGGGAAATACATGCAAAATTGCTACATAAAAGTCTGAACGTGAAAGAAGCTCAGAACAGAATGTGCTTTTTTGACTACTTTTCTTTTTTTCTAAGCAATGTATTTTCTGTTCAAGTTTTGCATATGACCTCATTTTTGTATTATGTTTGCTAACAAATCAGTGTGGAATTTGTGTTCTACGGAAGTTCTAATGACAAAAAGATATTTTCCCCTTTTGAATGTATGTACATGTATGTGTGTATCTGTAACCTATTTGACCATGTTCTGTCCTAGAAGTTCTCCTTGTGGAAATGGAAGCGGGTTGTGGACGAATAGCTGAATTCCTGGCAAAGCTTCTTCAGCTGTTTGGTAAGCGTTGAGCTTCCACAGTAGAAAACACCTGCAATGACTCTGCTAAGTAAATGTACAGAAAGCACAGATCGAGTCTCTTGGAAAAGAACGGCCGGTTAGATGTTTCCTTCAATTTCTTTTGTCTGAAACAATCATGTTTTTGTAATCCGATTTGGAGGCTCTATAAAATAAACAATTTTAAGGATTAAGAGGAATATTAGGAAACAATGCAAGGGTGTATCACTCTGTTCTATTTGCTACAGACGTTATGGGGGGACCCCTACGTAAGGTTCCACCATTTCTGTAGCATGTTGAAGAACAATGATGTGCCAAAAGTGCAGCTGGACTAGGTTTACCTATTCGAGATGATTTGTGGGCATTTGCCAAGTAAGTGAACACCTTCCTCCAGTTCGGTCTTGCAAAATGGGTTCGTATCTGTCTCAATACATGTTGAAAGCAAGCTAAGTAGAGAACAATTTATTCTCAAAGTATATCTTCCATAAGAGTAGTATATACCCGACTCTCTGAAACGATATCAACTCCATTCTTTGCATGTTGCAATGACTGCAACATGGCAATGAGTGCAGATCGTGCATCACCTTCTTCATAGACGCTAGTCAGATAGTTGTGCATTTCTATGACGTGCTGAAATGTCCCATTAAGGAATTCTGAATCACTGTATCATATAAGGAAGGAAGGAGAGAAACAGAGACAAGCAACACAATATCATTTATTTTGAGACTTACATCATGATCATGCTCAGTGACATCATCCATAACACCCTTGAACCACTCAAAGGAGCTTTGTTCTCTTGTAACCCAGTAGAAGTATGCCCTTCCTGGACCCTTTTCTTTTCTAGCTGTTCCTTGTGTGTTTGGAGGTACCTGTATTGGTTTAGCATATAGCAAATTTGACTTGTTCATCAATTCAAGCAATTACTGAGTAAGCTTAGTCTCTTACAAGGTTGGTATCATTGGTTTTGATGTGATTCAGGAGATCCTTCAGAATGCTAATAAATGGAGTTGCCCCAATTCCCAAGCCAATTAGCATTAAAATGTCATACTTCTTGTAATTTTGAGCTGGGGCTCCATAAGGTCCATCGATGACAATCTTGGGGAAGCTGCAATGTTTGGAAGTATAATCAGTCGTTGAATTGGACCTTGATGAGCAGCTAGAGATAGATCCTATTTACCCAAGTTCTTGATAATCATAATCTGTCACTGCTTTGGTTTCTCTTCTAGCTAGATGGCCCTTTCTCGGTGGAACAGTTGGAGCTTCACAGACCTGAAAATCATAAAGGAAAATTTCATCACGGTCACTCATCCTTTTGAAGATCTTAGATCCCCATGAAGAGAACTACAAGGATGGTCTTCCATCCTTGGACCTGTACACATCGCCCATGACTAGGGAAGTAGTCCACATAGGTGATCCCTCAAGACAGAATTCACCTGATCAGATGATCATGACCATTCTATTTAGTGTTGTTTGCCATGGGTAAGTAGAAAAGATGTGGCAAGCTACCCATCCTTAAATTCAAGGTTGGGTGGTTACTGTCACGATGGCATATGATTCTTTACATGTATTCTGTAAGTAAACCTGTAGGGGCTCAAGAATTGACCTCTGAAAATCGGTTTCTAAGTGCTGTTGTCCAATCTCCTAGGGTTCTGATGTGAACACTCAAGTAGTCATCTCCTGGTGCAGAAGTAATGGAGAACGGATGCCTGTAAGGATCAAATATGGATCTGAGAGTATAAGTTGAAAATTCATCTGTTTCCATCTGAAATGTTACTATATCATTACAAAAAAAAAATCATTATAAGCATACCATTCAAAGGGTGATATGTCTGGACACTTGACAAATAAATACATTCCACTCTTGTACTTGAACCCTGGTGGTTTGCTCATGTACAGAGCAAGAACGTTCCCTTCATATATTATGACCTGCATAAAGGTGAAGGAACGTAAAAAAAAAAAGAAAAAGAAAAAGAAAAAGAAAACTGTGAATGAGAATAGAGTCAATAGAAGTAACTTGACTGAGCTTTGAACTAGTCAAGCTGATCGAGATTTTGGATTTAGCACAAGTCAACAGAGTTTCTAGCGGACTTAAAATATGGATCAAGTTCCCAGTAAAGTGAACTTTGATGCCACTCATTTCAACTTAAAGGTTATAATAATAGACAATTACAAACCTTAATAATGCTAACATCGTCAGTTCTTTCATGGATCGCTCTGTGCATTCTCTCGCTAGCATAAAAGAGGACTGGAATACTGACATACATCCATGTCTGCAGCAAATACATAAATTGTTTAGCTTGTGCATTACTTTTTAGACTATGGATTGTAACAGTGTTAGCAGGATTTACATGTATAAGGAGATATGAAGCCTTACCGTCTTTTTATACCATTCCTTGGTGAGAAAAATGAAGTAGCCATGAATAAGGAGGAGGATATAGGCAATGGTTAGCAAATGATGTGCATACCAGAAGGCATTAAATCCTGCCAAATGGTGAAAGGGCCAACGTAGTTTGATAACATTCCTCCTAAAAGAGTGTGTTGCCAATGTGAAAGAGAATGCCATTATAATGATCATAATAATGCCAGTGACTCCTACAGTGCTGGCTAACAGGTCACCATATGTTGGTTGCTTGTAACCGAAATTTGATCCAAGAGTCTCCATGAAAATTATTTTTGGGCATGAAGTTAATCTTGGGAAATCACAAGTGATATGCATGAATACATGAATTGAAGTGCCAATTACAATTGTGAGTGCGATCAACTTGTGGAAATTGATGTTGTCATCAAAGGGGATGAAGCTACCAAGAAATGTTGATCTGAGCCTGGTAAGGGTTTTTCTGCATACTGGAAGTAGAATGAGAGCCATATTGAGTTTGAGTCCTTCAGCAGCACCTTTGGCAATACATACACAGTAACCCATGATGACAAACACAGATCGGTGTTGATATTGATAGGCTTTCCAAATGAAAAGTATCAGGTTCGCAATCAACCATAGTGCAATGATCCATATCCTCTTCCAGTTGTCGTGGATGAACTCAGAAGCCTTGGTTAGATACTTGCTCACAGGGGTTCTATATTGTTTTGGGATCATCATTTTGGCGAGTGTATGGGTTTTCTTAACAAAATTTTCACCTTCTTCAGAATTCACCATCCCTTGTAGTAGAGTTTCTAGTTGCCAAATCTATAAAAAATCGGAAAGAAGCAAGGGATAAAATAAGATCTAGTTTTTAACTCTTCTTTATTCTGGTGAAAATAGAAACGAATCAAATCATGCATATCTCCTCACCTCTATGTAACCCAGATGGTCAGGGTCGAGCTCCTCCATGATTAGAGCTGCATAGGTCGAAGCATGTTCTTTCAATTTTGTTAGCTTGTTTTCCGAGGCACTTAACATGATGACCTTCTCAGTTCTCAACACAAGAATGTCAGAAAAGCTAGTTCACAAAAATGGAAGGTGAAGAAGAAGAAGAAGAATCTAGTCCTCACCTCTTTTACCTCGTCCTCTGAAAGCCTCCCGTCACCATTTTTATCACACCTATGTGTTAAGAAAAATGTAAATGAAAGAATTTGTGCAGTCACTAATCAAAGGAATAGAGTGAGGTTGCCATTCACAGGACATGATGCAGAGGAATGTCCTCCTACATTAGCTTAGGGTAGAACATGGAGAACAAAACTTTGTAGACCAATGGTTTGATCAGGTTCTTCCATCTTTGGCATGATAACTCATCATCCTAATTGATTGTAAAAGAAGAGACTCTTTCTAACCTCTATCCATGCATTTTGTCAGTTAAGTTTCAGGCGGAGATTAAAGCTTAATAGCTTCAGTCCCGTACATGACCAACTGCCACAGGCTCAACCCCATTCTAATTTGCAAAATACTATTACTATCTTTAGAAGTGTAATGTATGAGCTATTATACAAAACAGAGGGAACAATTAGAGAATTTCTTACATATCAAAGAATATCTGCAACCGAGAATCAAAGTCCCGACTGATCATGTCCTCCCAAAAGCTCTTCAGCTGTTCCCTGGTTATGCCATTGGTAGTTTCCAAGTTCCTACGCCTAGCTAAGGCATCGAAGAGCTCACCGGCGAATTCCTTGGAATCACCCATGCCTTTGTATGAATAGGCAAAAAATTTGAAAAATGCATGATACTATTTTTAACCAAGTAATTGATTGGCACGGAGGAAAAGAAAAGAGAGGAATTCTAAGAGAATGAAGACTCTCACCTACGCAACGCCCAAAGTTATCTCTAGAGAGATGCCCGTCGACGGCAAGCTGGTCAAACCTCTTTTCAGTGGCCTTCCAGGCATCGCCTTCGTTTTCTGTGGTCGTCCTATCTAGAAACCGCAAGCTCTTAAGCCCCCTGGAGGCAGCTGAGGCTGTCCGAGTTCCATTGGTTTCTTTCGGAATGCTCTTGTTCCCATCGACCTCCGTCTCCGGTGATTCATCTTTGGAGGATTCAGAGCCATCGTGGTCGTGGATGACCACATCTACCATCTGCTCCATTTCTTCAGGAGCCACAATACTGTCGAGCGTCCATTGTGAAGAAGTAGAACCACCGTGACTTTCCTCACCTTTGGTTAACATTACCAGGAGGGTAGCCTTCTATCGTCTTCTCAGGTGAAGATTTGAAGCACGTACGGGTGGGTATAGAGAGAGGAAGGAGAAGAGTTGCAGATGGGATGTCTGGAGAAGCAAAGACAATGGGGGATGGAATGAGACAGAGAGGAAGAGAAGACACTGTGTCAATTTGGGCAAAGGAGGGAAGGGTTCATATTTAATTGCTTTGTTCGGTAAGTTCGTTGTCTAAAAATGGTCCCCACAATTATCAGGTGAGAGACCCTTTCCCGTGTTACCCAATACTTTACGCCCCTATTAGCCATCTAAATGGAATCTCGTCATAAAACTAGATCGTCTGAGTGAATGATCTTTTTAGCAATGATTATGGGCCAGGCTTGGGCCGAGTTTTAATACAAAGTGTAAGAACATTTTGTGTCTGATCCACACCCGAGCCTGATAATATATGTTTGGAGATTTGGACCAATCTTTACCCAATGGTCCAAAGTATTTATTGAATTAGATTGGAACTGGTTCACCTATAATGGATTTATATTGGATTGGATCGGATTGAATCAATATCAGGTGAGTTGAGACCAATCTAAATTAAAACCAATTTGATTAGATTAGACGGTCCAAATATTAAACTGAAATGATCCAAAATGGTCTAAAATAGTGATGAGATTGGATTGGACCTGATCTATCTATAATAAATCCATATTGTATCGAATCGGATTGAAACAAATCTGGTCCAATTGATACTCCTAGCTATGGAAGGTCAAATAGGGATCGGATCCTACTGCCACAAATGATATTCGTTTTGTAGTTTATACATACTCAAATGCAAACTTGAAATGATTAAAGGCAATTCGAACTATATATGTTCATAATTGAATTGAATATTGATCCATCCCTATCCAATAATACACACGCACATACATATCACTATGGCTGTAGTGGTATGATGGTATCATTTTATCCCAATTCAAAATCAAATTTGATCTGGTTAACGTATATATATGTGTTTGTTTTTCTCTTTACTTTATAACAAAGGCTCCTATTTCGATTTATTTAATAAAGCTTGTGGCATCGGGGCTTGATTAGCGTATGAATATAGGGCCCGTTTGGTAAGCTTTTTCGAAATATCTTTTAAAACTTTTTAAAGACCCTTAGACCAGAAAACAGCTTTTTTTTCGGGAAGCTGGGATGGCTTATATCCCAAAAAGCTTGTGCAAACCCGAAACAATTGAAAATCAAGAAGCCCATATTTCCGCACCTAAGATTAGGCTACAATTGACCATGATATTTATCAAACGGTTTTGATATGTAAAGACAATACCCTAAAAGCTCAGTATATCTGTCAGCCATCTGTACTATCAAAAGATCTTTCTAAAAAGATTTGCCAAACGACATCATAATAAATCAAATTTGGGTTTAGAATATATGATTGATTCAGTTGTACCCATTGCAGTGTTTTTAACTTCTTGTAGTGGCTAGCTGAAAAGTTTGAACTGTCACCTGGCCATAATTCCTAGTTTGAGTCTCCTACAATATGAATTTTGGCAAAAATTCGTCAACCTAATTAAAAATTATTCAACTCAAGCAATTGAACCGTTGACCTGTTTGTCTTGATGGCCGCCAAATCACGAATTACACATGAAATGTGTATACAAACTTTTGGAAGCCATAACTTTGTATTTAGATATATTAATAGGGTAATCTTTTTTTGGTAACCTTTTGAGATATATAAATTGGAATGTGCAAACAAATACATATTGCCCTCTTATTTTGGTTAAAACCCTGAGTTTGGCCTTAAATCACAATTTTTGTATTTTTTATAAATAAAACATTTTAAAAATAAATTTAAAAATATAAATTAAACATAAAATAATACTTATATATTACATATAAAAATAAAAACATATTGGATCTCTATACGTCCCTCGTACGAATTCAGATATGCTCTTGCGCCTCACACTGTCTCCCTCACACCGTCACCGTATTGCAGCTGAGCAAGCATTGCAAACATCTTCCCACGAATGATGATAAAATCAATTAAGGAAGAATGCGCTGAGGTTGGTGTGGGTCGCGCTATGTTAGTAGCAAATCCGATCTCCCTTCGTACAGAGTTACACACTGTCTCCCAGCTCCCTCACGCATTTCTCTCTCCTTCTCTCTCTTGTGGGGAAAACAGCTAACTTCCGGGTCCGACAGGCGACAGATAGTATTCGCCTATTCGGTCTCGTCACTCGTGTCCTAGACTAGACGTACGCGATATCGGGTCAGGCCCGACTTTCCAAATTAAGCCCATTCCGAAGAAGATACCAGGCCCAATTCTTGGGCGCGCGCGCTGTATTACTGACACACACACACACTATTTCCGGTGTAAGGAAACATGGTTCCAATGCCACAGTGCCACTACGCCATCCTCGTATTACTTGGCTCCCAGGTGTTACTGTGTTAGTATTGCCAATGGTTAAATTACTAGAAACTCCCTACTCTCTAATTAAATGACTGACGCAGAGATCAATGAACATGGTCTTAGTTTGGAAATTCATATTTCACAAGGGTATTATTACGAAAAATTATTGTCACGTAAGATTCCTAAAACAGGGTATATCCGTAACTTCGAATTTATAATAGAACAACAACATCGGAGTTTAGACCACTAGCGGTTATTGTGGGTCAGATCTGACGGCCGGGAATTAGAAATCCCGGCCGTGATCTGACCCACAAGACACCAAAGAAGTTGTCCCTGCAACGGTATCGGCTAGGGTGCTGAGTCGCCGTCTCTCTTCGTCCAACACAACAAACCCTTCTCTTTCCCTCTCCCTCTGTGGCTACTCTTCCCTCATCTCTCTCTCCTTCTTCTTCTCTCTTTCCTTGCCTTTATTTTCGTCCCTTTCAGCTGTCTCTCTCCCGATCAGACGAACGATAATCCTCCACGTCCACGTCGTCTTCTTCGACTCATGCTCCCTGTTATATAACCGCCTCGTTCGCTTCTTCTTTCCTGTTTCTTCTGTTTCTAGGGTTTCCTTTCCACAAATGCGAGAAGAGGAGGGAGAAATCGATGACTCCATGGTGCCTGCGCTTGTTGATCAATCGATGCTCGTATTTTGATCGAGGATCTGAACTTATTCGTGGATGTAGACGGAGAAACTGTTTTCAGTGACGAATTAGGTATTATTTGATTCACCCCTTCCTTCCTCTTGTTTCTGCGTGTGTGTGCTTTTCTTTTTTTCTTGCTCAGTCAAGAGTTAGTTTTTTTCTAACCAACTTTTTTTTTTTTTTTTTTTTCTGCGTGTTATTCCCCTTTATTCGATTTATATATGGTGGTCCTTCCTGTAATCGGCTCTTCTCCTTTCCCCATTTTTTGAGAGATTTGTATTGGTTTCTTTCTCCTGTTTTCTTTTTAGGTATGGTCGTTTTTTTGTTCAGATAGAAGCTGAGAATTTGCCGTTTTGGGAGGAGGAAGAACTGAGATTGCACCATCTTCTTGTAGTTCGGATGGCGATTGTAAAGAATAACTTTAGGGTTTCGAAAATTGATGGCGAGTTTTCTCCTGGGAGTAGAGACAGTATGTCGACTGAGGAGGATGAGCTTCCAAGGCGAAGCTCTGCCTCCGAATCTGACAATGATGAAGAAGAAGAAGATGATGGTGCTGACTCGGGAGCAGGTTCTGATGACTTTGATATGTCAGAATTGGGTGAAACTGGAACAGAATTTTGTCAAATTTGGAACCAGAACTGTCGTATACCGTTTGAGCTCTATGATCTTCCAGACTTGGGGGAAGTTTTGACATTAGATGTGTGGAACAACTGCCTGACTGAAGAGGAGCGCTTTAGCCTTGCAGAGTATCTTCCCGACATGGACGAGGCGACTTTCATGCGTACCCTGAAAGAGCTCTTCTCTGGAAGCAATTTTCATTTTGGAAGTCCGGTTGCTAAACTCTTCAATTTGTTGAAGGGAGGACTATGTGAACCGAGAGTTTCCCTTTATCAGCATGGTTTGAATTTATTCCAGAAGCGCCAGCATTACCACCTCCTGCGCAAATATCAGAACTCCATGGTCAGTAATCTTATTCAGATAAGGGATGCTTGGGAGAACTGTGTAGGATACAGTATTGAAGAGAGGCTTCGTGTTCTGAATATAATGAGAAGTGAAAAGATTCTTATGTACGAGAAGATGGAAGACATTGGACTAGAGAGTGGCTCCTCAGATTGGGAGGAATCTCGTAAAGGCTTCTGGGGAAAAAGACCAAAGGACATTAAACTTGGGCCAAAAGCAGAATGTGGTGCTGTTTATACAGTAAGTCCTATGTTGGGTGTTTCTTCTCAAGGGAAGCTTATGACACTGAAATCAGCAAAATATGGAAAGCAAAACCCTAAAGGAATATTGAAGTTTGCTGGATCAAAAGTTCCTTCTACAAAAGACATGGTGGGTCGTGTTCCTTCCACTCAACATGGTTTGGAAATGAAGTCTAGGTCATCTCTTCCAGTGTTAGCTCACCCTCAGCAAGAACGGGTGGTGGGATATGGATATGGAGCTGCTCACTGGTCAAGGGGTCAGGTAGGAGGTGAGGAAGATATCGATGATGCAGCATATGATTTGGCTCTCCAGAGGGATCGACATGGTGCACGTGGCAGTGTTATTGCTAAAGTTGGCACGTTAAAATCAGGAAAGAAGTCTGATTCTTTCAAAAGTGACTTCTATGTTGACAATTTTATGGGTGGAAATTGTAATGTGAATCAGAGGGCAGATATGGAGTTATTGACAGAAAAAATGAACAACCAAAGAGCTTCTGGGAAGAAGGCTAAGTATCTTGGGAAGCCTCAGAAATCTGTGGTAGGTCAGATGAAGATCGCAAAAGACAGAGCACAGCTTCTGTTATTGAAGGGAAGTCATCTTGACTGGTCTTCTGGAAGTGAACCCTTTAGACATAACAAATTACAAGGAGAAGCCTTTGAGGCTGATTATCCAGTCAATTTTGATGATTGGAGTGTTAGAAGCAAGAAATGGAAGATGGGGAAGGATTTTCAAACTGGTAAAAACGGTGTAGGTTCTGATTCAAAAATTAAATATAGAGCATTCCCAACCCTTATGGATGATAAATTCACTTACACATCAAAAAAACTACAAGAGAAAGTCAAGCAGAAATCTTCTAAAACTGGAGGAGTGAAAATGGAAAAACTGAGAGGCATTAATATGTTTGGCCAGAGTGAGGAGACAGAGTCAGATTCAGCAGAGCAGGGAAATGAAGAGGATGATATTAATCTTCTGCGAAGTAATATGGCCTATCCTGGTGGTACCTTGGAAGGTCATAGGTCCGCTTCTGTCAAATATTTGTTAGATCCTAAAAGATCCAATAAACTTGTGAGAAAAGATAAAAAGGAATATGCTCAGGCTCTTGATGCAGTCACATACTCATCCAAGAGGGCAGGTGATTTTGATGAGCAGATGCATACATGTGATGTAGAAATTTACTCGTCCAAAGGAAAATATAAAAATAAGGCACTTGATCCCAGTTACTATGCTGCTGGAATCTTGGCAAGTAATTTTTCTACTTCAACTAAATGGTCTGATGATGATTGGGACCAGACTTACAAGTTGGGGAAGAATGGTCAGTTGCAGGGTGAACCTCATGAAAGGTCAACTCCACCATTGTTGAAGGCCTACCCTGCAGAAAGGAAGAAAAAAGGAAAAATTAAACCTGATTATATTGTTTCTCAGTCAAACTACATGCATGATTATGTTAGTGATGATGGTGATGATGATGAGGATGATTTGCACTTGACACATAGATCAGTGGATGATCACAGGCAGACTAATAGGTTGTGGAAGAAAGGGAAAAACGTTGGAACTCATTCAAGCAATAATCATGAAAGGTCGAGTATGTCATTGTTAGGGTGTGGCTCAGTGACAAAGAAGCGGAAAGGCAAGGGAGATGTGACATACATGGATGAGCCAAATGAATCTGGTTACATGCAGTCAAGTTCTCACCAACAGATTGATGACACAGCTTCCTTGAAGAAACGGGGAAAAAGGAAAGTGGAGCCTGAAACTGGCTCTTTGGCAAAGTTAACTTCTGAGCCACTTGTTTCAGAAAGGGGAACAGTAGATGTAGAGCCAGAAAAAAAACCAGCAAAAAAGTCATTCCCTCTGATCACACCTACTGTTCATACTGGCTTCTCATTCTCCATTATGCATCTTCTCTCAGCTGTTCGCTTGGCAATGATTACTCCATATGCAGAAGACACCTTGGAGTTTGGCAAACACCTTGAGAAGAAAGTTGGAAGACAGAAGCCTTATAAAGGAGAGGCTGCAAAGTATGAAAGCTTCATTGGGAATGAGAATCTGGATATCAATGATTCGGCACTTGCAGCACAGAAGAATTTGCCTTCTCTCACTGTTCAAGAGATTGTCAACCGTGTGAGGTTGAACCCTGGAGATCCTTGTATTCTTGAAACACAGGAGCCACTTCAGGACTTGGTCAGGGGGGTACTGAAAATATTTTCATCTAAAACAGCACCTTTAGGTGCAAAGGGTTGGAAACCACTCGCATTTTATGAAAAATCTACAAAAAGTTGGTCATGGGTTGGGCCAGTTTACTCTAGCTCATCAGATAACGAGGTTGTTGAAGAGGAGACTTCTTATCATGCCTGGTGTCTTCCACACAAGATGCTTGTGAAGTTGGTTGATTCATTTGCTAATTGGCTGAAAAGTGGTCAAGAAACACTTCAGCAAATAGGATGCCTTCCTGCACCACCCGTGACACTGATGCAACCCAATTTGGATGAGAAGGAAAGATTCAGGGATCTAAGAGCTCAGAAGAGTCTCACCACTATCAGTCCAAGCTCTGAAGAAGTAAGGGCTTATTTTCGTAAAGAGGAAGTCCTTAGGTATTCTGTTCCAGACAGGGCCTTCTCTTACACAGCAGCTGATGGTAAAAAATCAATTGTTGCTCCTTTGAGAAGGTGTGGTGGCAAGCCAACATCAAAAGCCCGAGACCATTTTATGCTTAAACCTGATCGACCACCTCATGTTACAATCCTTTGTCTTGTAAGGGATGCAGCTGCAAGATTGCCTGGAAGTATTGGCACTAGGGCAGATGTTTGTACCCTGATAAGAGACTCACAGTATATTGTTGAAGATGTTTCGGATGCACAAATTAACCAAGTAGTTAGTGGAGCACTGGACCGCCTTCATTATGAACGTGATCCTTGTGTCCAATTTGATGGAGATAGGAAGTTATGGGTTTATCTACATAGAGAGAGAGAAGAAGAAGATTTTGAAGATGATGGCACCTCATCTACAAAAAAATGGAAAAGACAAAGGAAGGATGTTACGGAGCAAACAGACCTTGGAATAACCAATGTGGACTATCATGGGTCTGCGGAGCAAATTGCAAGCAGTACAGCTGTTGGACGTGATTTGAGCTTTGATCCAAATGTTGAATCCTCATCGATGCATGAAATGAAGGAAAAGGAACTTGATTGTGATGATTTGAGGCAAAATGTGAATGGGGATTTGGAGACGTTTGATGGCTCAGCACAAGATGGTATTCATCATGGTCACACAATGGATTGGAACACTATCAATTTAAATCCCATGCGGGATAGCAAAATGCTGTGTCAAGAAAATTCCATGAGTGAAGATTTTAATGATGAATCATTTAGCAGAGGAAGGCCTCTTGGGATTTTAAGTGCAAGCTTATTGTGAGGAATAATAGATTAGTTGGACACACCTTGTTTTCCAGGAGTGGTCCAGGTAGCTTTTAATATTATTATACATTTTAAATTTTCTTAGCACCCTCTTATCATTGTAGTCTCATGTTGTTACTGCAATTAAAGTTGTGAGATTTGGACAAAATAGATGATTATCCTAATTAGTGTTCTGTAAAATGAGCTCGGATTGTTTATTGCATTTTATCAATTTTTTGTCAATGTAATGTATTAAGTGTTTTATTTGTTGCAGTTTTTTTTTTTTTTTTTTTTTTTTTTTTTTTTAATAACATGGAATTCAAAACTTGTTATGCTACTT